ACCTTTGTCAATGTCATTGACTTTGTTGTGCAGAACCATCTCTTCCTCATTGGCTACTCTAACTTCCTAATCTACATTTTTTACATTTATTGATTTCGCTACCCCCTTGTTGATGTATCTTTCACAGCGGTGTCACAAGCACTTCAAAATATTGTATTCTGATTTGTCCACATGTTTTCTTCGAGAATATATGTATATATATATATATATATATATATGTTACTTATCAACAGTTCTTCACTCTATAACCAATGATGGTCTGAATTCTGTTTCTAATCAATAATTAATGAACTGTTGTCTAGAGGTGTTAGAGGTCTTTTGAGCATCAGTTCTGGGTATTGTTTCTGCTAATGCAATCCCATGGAGACATTCAAAATGTGTCTGTTTGTGTACGAGGCATGAGTTTTGGTGAAGAACTGCAGTGGCACTGGACAAAACTGTTACAGAAAATGTATATAATTCACACCACTAGCATGCATTCCTTACTAAAATTCATTTGTTCTCCCTAACCCATGCTTAGAACCATTTTAAAAAAAAAGAGCCTTGTTACTCTCAAGGACAGCTTGGAAATACTACTTAGTTGAGTGAGAACCAAGCGCCGTGCTGCTATCAAATTCATCAATCCAGACAACAACTCATTAAAAGATAGTATTAGCCAAAGCTTCAGAGTAGGGTGTGCAACTCTCTAAAATCAACATGATCTAATCACAGGCTTTTGAATGAACCCAACGGATGAGCCTGATTATATTTGTAACTGGGTTGCTCTCCATCTTTGTGTGTGAGTTTCATTTGAAGTTTAATGCATCACAGAGTAGGTAATGATAAATGTCAGAGTTCTTTAATATTGTGAAATATTATGAGTCTTGTGTTAGCTATTCCACCCAAGCCATCCTGTGGGCCTAGATTGAACTTGCAGGAATCTCCAAAACTGATGTCTCGCAGTAAGCGAAAACGTGTCTTTTATTTGACATGGTCTAATACACAGACTTCAGAATTGTTATCAACCTACCAAACTGTGTGACTATTTCAGCTCCTGCCTTGAAGACATTTGGTTTTATCCACGCCTGTCGACTCTGTCTTTGCGGATACTTCACATTATCCACCGACAGTGGAATTTGGTGCAGTTTTGGAAGTGGTTCAGCTCACCTTTTCGAGATGTTGCGGTTCAAACAAACAATCAGCATTCAACAATGTCATGGGACATTTCATTCTTTCCGGACGTTGGATACTTTTAATATGCTTGCAACCTTCAAAACCTACAGAAGCACATACTTATTACAAAAAGCATTGCAATTTTTTAAATATTTTATTGAACTATTCTAAATACTTGACACTTGCTTGTAGTAATTTGCTTAGAATATATAAAAGTCTTGTTTTTTAGTACCTCATATTAATTGCATGGTATAAAAAAATTATAAATAAATAAATAAAAAATATATATTATGTATGAAGAATAATTTCGAACGTTTTTAAGAAAAAATTTTCTTTAATGAAACTCTGTATTTGAATATTAAACATTTGTAGACATTTGATGCTATAAAAATCTTTAAAAATCTTTAGTCCTGTTAGATTATTATACAAATAGAAGATTAAAAATCTTTAAAAAGTTTAAAATTTTTTTAAAAAAATTCTCTTAATATTAACTACTTTTTTTCAGCTATTTTTTTTTAATAAAATAGTCTACAATACAAAATTTAAATGATCCAAAAACTGTATTATTGTAATTCATTTTGCTAAAATTCTATAAGTCCTAATTAATATTTTGATATATATATATATATATATATATATATATATGTATTTATTATGGCATGCATACATCTTAAAAAGATGTGGACAACTTCATTTCAACTGTACTAAGTCAATGTTCTTTTTATCCCTTTTTATAATTTCTATGATATCTATAATTTAATAGGGAAAAAATATTTAACAATTTTTAATACTGTATTTCAAATTATATATATATATATATATAATCAAAATTATGATTTATATATAAAATAATTATCAAAAAAATCTTTATATATTTTTAAAAATAACCAAATATGATTAGGTGATTTCATATTTTATTTAACAAATTTCAAAATTATAAAAAGATTTATCTACAACAATAAACTGCATAATTCTTTTGTTACAAAATTTATGTTTAATAATTTTTTCTGATAATCTAGTCAATGAAGATTTTGAAAATAGATATTTTACATAAAAAAGGAATTAATATAAAAATATATATATATATATATATATATATATATATATATATATATATATAAAATTCATCTAACCTTAATTGCAATATTCAATTTATTTTGTGGGATATTTTTTATTTACTAAAATAAATATAAAATTTAAAAATAATTTAAAAATAAATATACATACTATTATAATATCGAACTTAATTTTTTATAATTTAATGCCAAAAAATGATAAATTTTCTACCATTTCTATGTTCAAAAGTAGTGTTAAGATGATTGATGATTTATTTCAAATCTAATTTTGGAACACATTAAGCCTTAAGTCTTTGTTCGAAAGTATCAATCTTTTAATAATTTTTAAATAAAATAAATTCTGACAAAAATTCATAAATATACGTTGCTATGATTAATAGCTTTGAACCTTTGATAATAATATCAAACCATACAAATATCTTTAGAATGCCACACGGAAACATCTTTTAGGAGTTTTGCAAATATAATGACAAAAATAGTGAGCACTAAACCACAGTGATGTTCCAGAAGCCACAACACAAATCAATAGATTTTTTTTATTTTTTATATCTAGAACCATACAGCAAACAGAAGAAGCGTGCTCTTATTTCAGAAAGTGCTTTTATCATCACACAACAATACTGAAACATTGGCATACAACCATGTGACTATCCTGCTGTATTCGTATCATTTCTATAGTAACAATTCTGTTATAAACATGGGCTTTGAATACTTCGAATCTAGCAGAAATATCTGTAAAATTATAAAGAACAGGCAAACAATACAAAGACTGGTTGGAAATCGAAAGCCATTTGCTACAGCACCTCTCATGCAGTAAGTTGGACCAGTGATTTTTACTATCCGTGGTTTCATTTAGGCAGTTTGACAATCCGCAGTGTTTCTATGTAATAATAAGGTTTGTAACCCTTTTCTACGGCACTTCATATTCAGTAAAATGAGATTATTGATTCAATGCCTTGACGCCGTCCAGACCTGTAGTTATAATTGGATCTCAACTTGTGCTTATCTCCAGCTAGTCCGGGTCTTCGGATAGCTGATGTTCTCTAATTGGGTCCTATTCTAAGTGAGCTGGATCATGAAGTTTACCAGATGAAACATTTATAACAATGCTTTGCAATGTGATGAAAGTAGAAAAAGGAGATCTGAATGTGAATTGTCTCTGGTGATCTCACTCAGCATGAGTAATGTATTCGAACCATGTGGACAAACACTCAGGGACACATGGTTCGAATCATGTTACTACCTTGTTCACGCCGACTCATGTTGTAATGCTAAACTAGGTCTTGCACATTCGGTTTCATGTCCTGGACCCCTTTCAAGATGGTGAAAGGTGGATTAAAATGACCAGAAGCAGAGAGGATTGTACTCGAACCATATGTCCCCGAGTGTTTCGATGCCTAGAACCGGGACAATCCGTCCAACTTTCCTGTGTTGGTTTGCTTGACATGCATACGATCAATCACAAGACAAGTGTTACCGTCCCTGCAGCATTGGCTTCTCGATGCGGTAGATCCTGAAAGATGTGCCGTGAGCAACAGAAAGCATCCTCGTTGTCATGGAATTCAACACTACTGGTGGATGCCAGGATATGAGAATTTGTTGCGGGCTGGTTGGAATGCAGTGCTTCAGGTCCGATACGAGGGAGTCAACTCATGTGGTTAGAGGGTACATTCTCGGTGTGCGTTGATGAAAGGGTACAACAAAGAAAAGTACTGGGAGCTAAATATTGTGCGACGCTTTTCAACAAATGCGCGTTCTGCACAACCATCTCTACCAATCGTATCGCAGCACCATCGTCGACAACGCTCATACATTTTAGTACTGACCTCGTTGCAGACTACAGTAAATTTGTCAGACCTTTTGTGCGCATAACCGATGCGTGTATATATAGATGTGTGTGTGTGTTCTACGCAGCGAGTCTTATATAAGATTTTCAGACGCGGATGCCACTACAAACAATATATAGATGTGAATGATTCCAAAATAGCAGGATCCAACGACCGAATCAAGAGATTCGAGCACATCTACACCCCAAGTAGCCGATGACAGTTCTTTCTACAGGAAAAGACGAAGGTTACGCTTAGTCGATTGTATATCTATCCTTGAAGATACGAGTCTCTTGCCTCACTTCCAGAAGCCTGAAACTTCTAGGTATCACAAAAAAAAAGCCTAGATGACATGCCCCTACCACACAATTAAAGTCAGTATTTTTGCACGAGGGATTAGTGCGATTGATGTTTATCTTCACTTTCCTCTTGGGAAATCGCAGTTTTGGTTGCCTTCTGCTGAAAGATTTGATGATCCTTTCCTTTGAACCGACTTTCGATCAGTCTTCGGGGACATGAAATAAGCTGTAGGACATGGGATTTCGAAGAATTCTAGAAGGTCGCATGCGTCGACAGCGTGAAGCCTTCCGATCTATTACCTCTGCTGGACAACCCTCCATGCGCGTTTCCATGAAATCTAAACCTCTGGCGTGGCTGTCTAGATTAAGTTCAAAATTGAGCACCGGACTTCAACACGATCTCAAATTGTTGCATTTCCAACGGCATGATTGCTATGTCCTGATTGAGAGGTAGAAGATGGTCAAATTCGTGCTTAATTCACTTCTTGTTGGCATTTCTGTGCATGTTAAAGCACTAGTATGAAATTATAATTAATTTCCAAACCTATCTCCTAATCAGGATTAGGCTGGTTCTCGACAAGGGTTCATGGATTCACAGGTTCTTCGCGTTTGAGCCAGTTAGATTCACATCCACAAATTACGACTCATTTTAAATGTAAACATAGACTAAGGCTAGGACATTATTATCATGAAGACTACCATCTCGGTGATGTTCTGGCGACCAAGGAACCACATCATCCGGGACGGATGTACAACTATTTGTCAAACTGAGAACTGCCCCGATCCGAGAGCTCATCGGATTTGACCCCTATCGCTTGATCATGTGACCACGTAGCAATACAACTGATTGTCTTTTTCGTATTCAGAAATCTGAATGTCAGCGTATAAATTCAGCAGGTTTATCCTCCACCTTCCCTGCTACTCGGTACTTGCCAATCAGCAGCAATGCAGAACCTCTAAATTGAGGTTTGTTAACTAGGCAAATCTACTCTTGAATGGTGACTTTTAGGTTGGCTTTTCACGATGATGCCTGCTTCTTGAAGAATCCACAGGTTGAAGAATTCCTAGATGAACCGGAGTCCTGAAACGGACATGAATTTTTTTCCAAGAGGGAGCTTTAATTCCTCGGCCTCAAGACCACGATGGAATGCGTGGCCATGTGAAGGCTAAACTGACCTCCAGATTCGGCCACATCAACTTTACTCATCCCCGGAGGAGGAAGAAGGTCAAATTTTTGTAAAAGACGCCCCAACACGATGGCCAACAACGGCATGGCAATTGCGGTGCCTGGGCACGACCTTCTTCCAGCACCGAAGGGGAGGAAACGGAAATCTAAGCTTTGGTTCTCAGCAGCTGCAGGCAAAAACCTCTCGGGCATGAACTTCTCTGGTTGATCCCAAAATTTAGAGTTGTTTCCGATCCACCATGCGTTTACGAGGACCTTGCTTTGTGGGGGTATATCGTAACCGGCAAGCTTAGCCTGCCTCATGTTCATGAGAGGAACGAGAAGTGGGACGGGCATGTGCAATCTTAGGGTCTCCTTGACAACAGCGGTGAGGAACGGCAGCTTGTTGTTGTGTGTGTCAGGTTCGGCGACCAAGTTGCCCTCCCCAATCACTTCAAGAAGCTCCGCCTGCAGTCGTTTTTGCACGTTTGGGTGGTTCACAAGCTCAGCTATGCCCCATTCAATTGACAGCAAAGTTGATTCTATCGCTGCATAGATGTGGTCACATTGACACATTCCTCGTCAGTGTTTGGACAACGGGCAGATTGTTTTGATCACAATTCGTGGGAGATATAGTCAGTTGTGAGAACAAATTCCGGCTACAATTCGACTGAACCAGTTTGTGGATTCGCACCTGCCACGTTGATGTTCTCTATGAGGTAAAGGATATTGTCTTCGCTAATCTCTCCCTTCTTCTGGGCCTCCAGCATGTGGTCGATGGCACATTTCTCTTCCGCACCAGAGACTCCAACAGCATTCACCAATTTTCTGAAATTTAGAATAGTCGACAACGTCAAAAGTTAGTTCAGTATGTGGTTTAGTTCATTAGTGATTTATCATCTTGCGCGGTGAGCAAAGAAACTAACTTACCTACGCTCATCAACGAAGTGTTCTTTGAACAACGAGAGCCGTTTGTCTCGCACTTCCTGGCAAATCTTCAAGTAACCTCTTATGAACAGCTTTAAAAAAGGAAAGAAATCGGCGTAGTTGTATTTATAATTTTGAGCTGGCAATCTGCAGCGTTCGCCATTCAAGCCTTTCAGCTTCAGATACAATGGATCGTACTCGCTTGCGAACCGAGAATTGAACATCATTCTATATACGATATTGTACATCATGAGCTGGAATCGGTGCCGAAGGACAACACCTGCAGTTGCCGACTCCGGCCGACTCTGCACGTCCTCCATGACCTCGTCCACCTCTTCCTCCCACGCGAAGTGGGCGTGCTGGAGGACCTTGGCGGTGACAAATGGAACCGTCAGTATTCGACGCATTCGTCGCCAGTGGTCCCCATAGTTGGTGAAGACAATGTCCTGGCCTTTTCCTGCGAAAATATCGAACACTGCATTGCGGGTCCGACACGCGAATTCTTCACCTTGTGTGTGTAGAACGCCTTTTGCAGCCTCCGGGGACGAGACTACCACATAGTTTCTCCAACCCATTTTCAGCATGAAGACGTCGCCGTATCGTTCAGACATTTCCGCCAACGTCCGGTGCTTTAAGTCATTCCCAACCTGTCCAGCCAACGGTGCGAAGCTTATCTTTCCATGATGAATGTTGCATACTCAGACGTCGGAGATGCAACAGTTGAGAGTTAGGTCATCACAAAGTTTGAACAACGAGCAGAATCCTTCAAGAGGCCTACATTCAGTCATGTTAGAAACATCGTGGGCTGTCCCAGTAATTCACCGAAGACTGACCTTCAACCAGTTTCCAACGATCGGAAGTGCCGTTGGACCTGGTGGAAGATTCATCTTACGGTCCTTCATTCTCAAATTGATTACGATCGCTGTAAACACAATCAGAAGTAGGCTCTGCCGACAAGGATCCAAACTGAAGACGAAATCTAGTGTAGATGGAGCTTTGAATTCTACACCAGTTACTAATCCGATCACGAATATCGCCAACAAACCTCGAACAACTGTTGGCTTTTCCATCGTGATAGACCAGACTCGGAGGAGCAAACTGAAGATTCCAACGTCTGCACAACGCACGGGCTAGGATCAATCAATCTTTATATTCTTCAATGTAGGTTGCTAACTTTGTGCGTTTTGCAAGGAATCACTTCCGTGCTTCGAAATGCGCGACTTCGGCTAGTGTTACGGTAGAACTGAGAGGGGTAGCTTATCGATAGTACTGTGTTCAAAGAAATTGGCATGCGGGCACAGGATGAGAAAAGATTGACGGAACAATACGATTGCACTTAGAACACATTTTTCTGCCTAACTGACATTAAGTGCCACTGCTATTGAATTTTACTGGATGGCACAAACCTTGACTTCGGCTTTTGTGCTGATCGACTGAAATATGTTCAGCCGTCCGAGTTTGCAACCTACGACTCTTGACGTAACTTTATCATAGGTTTTATACCAGAACTTGAACCAGAGATTCTCCATGCCAAATAAACGTGGTAATCTTAATGTGTAGCTCCCACCATCTTTCGGCGCCTGACATAGAGTTTTCATCGGCAAAAATACAAAAGAAAAGAATGCAAAAAGATAGAACGGAACACTCTCTAATCTTTTTGTCTGTTCTGAAAGTCTAACAATTAGACGAAAGCAATGTCGGTGACGCTGTTCACAGCTACGGATCAACAAAGGACAATCTTCACACATCTGCGACTCTGCGACTAGGACCCACCAAGCCAGAAGCACCGCCTTCAGTGAATTAGACATGAGCTGGCCCAGAGTTCTTAACTATGTCCTTTGTGACTGTAGGCCTCAATTGGTCGGCGCCGGCTGGAATAGTGACCCCCCACACAGCTCTAATTGCATGCACAACTTCGTCACAATGTGTAGTTACCGCTGGGTTCGAAATTTCGGGGATGTTTTATTCCCCAAGTAGAGCTCGGTCACATTCCATGCCAATTGCGACGAAGTATCGTCTCTGATCTCATCTATGATTATCACAAAGCAAGATTCGGTGCCCAACAGATTGACAGAATCGACACATTCATGCTTTCGCTCATGCTGTTGCCTCCCTGGATGCCCCTGGTATCACGCTCGCGCTTGGGCTCACTTCTCAATGAGTTATATAACCCATTCCCTTATTCTTCTCTCCCACGTGCATAATCAGCACCATCTTCGCAGGTGCTTCGTCCCGCTGCGAAGATGCCAAATATAGGTCAGCCCCGTCATGTGTGTATTAATAAACATCTCTTGCAAAACTCGCTGATGTGTTTTCACAGCAGGAACAATCTCTCCCACCTTCCACTTTCCAACGCATGTCGCAAACCCGTACTCCAGACTACAGAGTGCATTGCGAAAAAATCTAGCACGTGAGCGAATCCAGGGATTCCTTCCAGGATAGCGAACTTATCATTGGAGGTCATGGCATCTTTCGGTGTCGCAACGAGCATGATAACCAACGAACTCGTCACGGATCTAGGGTCACTGCTTCGAACCCAGCGCACATCAATCCACCAGCTACCATGAAAACAGACGACTAGTTAGGGCATGCACCGCAGATTTTACTCGTTCATGCACATGAGAAACTTCTAGTAGTCAAAGAGCTCCTCAGATCTCATAGGCTGCCGACGTATTGTCCATTAATCCTAGGAACAGGACTGCGCCCGCCTTGTAAAAATCGGCGCCCAGTTTCCGAATACGGCAACGTGGAATACACATAGTCGTCGCTTGTCTTCATGGCGCCGTGTTGGGCTTTTTATAGCTTGATGTTGCCGGCCGTCCGATATGATACCAGTGCTTCAAGACTTTACCTTGGCGAGCTCCCGACCACCGATCCTTTCCCACACATGTGCTCCATCTTCGGATCTCGAGACGCAAAAAAACCGATCTGCAAGCAGGATCGGTAACGTCGATCCTTACACCTTCTTGTGAAACGCACCAAAAACTCAGGCTTGTTCGATTAGAACAACCCTTCTTCGATTGATGTAACCTCATCGAAAATAACCAGGAATGCGATAATTCTTCTTTTTATCTCATTTCTGCGGCAGTGAATGTCATTTCCACCCTCATCTCTCCTCTTTATTGTCACCGAAAGAGCCATGGTTTCGAAAAGCAATGGCTTCTGAACTTGTGTCTGTGCACAATGGAGCCCTGGCGGCCGCCGTAATTTGATTTCATTATTCTCACTCTTTGTTGCTGTATTTTGGGATTTAATTTGCATTAATCCATACTTTGCATCTAACAATAACAACAGTTGATTGTTGGCTTCATGTGGCAACTTTCTAGGCACCAATTGAAGTATAGATTATGGTTTGTAGTGAAAGAAGCAAATGTATTAGCATGTTTGAATTGAGAGATAGATGGCCTCAAGTTAGGACTTAGGGGATGATTAGTAAAAATTGATACTCATCTGATTGGAGAATTTGGAGAATTTGAAATGTTTTTATTGCATGTTTGTTTGTTTAATTTAGAAGCTTAAAACTTATTGTTTACAAAGGAAGAGGACTTTGAAAGATTTAAATCAAAGGAAATATGAAGAGTGTAGAGTAGTCAAGAAAGGGCAAAAAGAGAGAGATTAAAATACAATAAGTCAAATCAAGAAAATTAAAATTTGATTGCACAAGATTTGCATTTCAATTTTTGTTGCTTAAATTTGTTGCTTAAATTTTAGTTGATTTGAAGAATTATTACCACTTGCTTCAGTTTTTGTTGCAACTTTAACTAAATATAATTCTATTCATTGAAACAAGGGTTTTGACAAGTCTATTGTCCATTCATTGCTTTGAAGCAATATGCATATGGACTAACCTAATATTTTTGCAAACAAAACCTACTTTTTAGTATTTATATATAATTCTAATTTATAGATATTTTTTCTTAAACAAAAATGGATTAGTAGAAGATTACAGCAAGTACAAAGTTAACAACTCTACACAATATCATACTGGTTTGAAATAGTATTTGACCAATAACAAGGTGACATCATATGCAATGACAAATGAAAATGAAGATATTGCAAAAAGAAGATTATAAAAGATCAATACCTTTGATCATGATAAATTGGCAGCTCTTTATTTGTTGATTGTTGTTAGGTGATGTTAATTTTTTGTGTTAAATTAACCTCCAAGTAAGTATTTATCAAAAACAATTTGTAATATAAAACTAACAAAGAACTAATTATTATTTAGTTTATAAATGATTCTAATTTTTTTTCTAGAAGAGTAAAAATTAAATATTGATATAACTATTGATATAAGCAATACCTTTAATCTAACTTTTAATATAAAAAATAAAAATAAAATACTATATTAATTACTTATTAATTTAAATCTCAATAACTAATAAATATTAATAGAAAAAAGCATAAAAAATATCATCTTGGCTTCTTTTTTTGGATTTTTTTGATAAAAAACTTATTTGTTTAAAGAATACAAAAGAAATTAACATATTGCTATTTTAATAGAATCTATGCAACTGCATTTCAGTACACAAGTATACCATGTTAGTTCCTATTATATTTTTTAATATTTTATATTATTATTATTATTATTATTATTATTATAGAATAGAATAGATATATCTAAGTTATAAGAGCCATAAAGGAATTAGCTAAAAATTTGTAGATAAGGAAAGAAATTAACACAAGAACCAATTTTTTTTTTTTTTTTTTTTTTTTTTTTTTTTAAGAAATGGCAAGCTACTTTTTCATTTAATTCAATATGTTTTAAAAAATAAAAACTAAATATTACAATTTTTTTTATAGATCTTGGTGTTGTTTAGCATAGTCTATTTAAATAGAAACTTATTATCTTAAATTTCAGATTCTACATCAACATGTTTCAATAAAATTCTCCAAATTTAAAGTACACGATTAAAATGAGATAATAGTACAAACAAAATGTATGTTGGTTTTATTTTTATTTTAAATTTACAAGATAACCATGAAGAGACTTTTTTATTATAATATTTAATTTAATCCAAAAAATATACTGATTAAATAAAAAATCAGCCATTCAAAAAAAAAATCTTAATGTTAGCATGTTTGATAAACTTTAAATCATATGAGATTGAGTAATTTTTTTAAAAATAAAATAAATTAAAATGTGAATGTATGCATTTTTACAAGGTTGTGTTATAGTAAGGCACTTGAATTTCTTTTATCTTATTCAGTATAATTAATTTTTTTTGGATCCTAATAACTTCTTATAAAAGGATAATTGTTTTGTAAGAAAATAAAATGTAAAGAGAGGCAAAAAATTGGTTCAATAAGAATTATTATTATCTCTATTCAAACCAAAAAATAAATTTGGATACTTCAACCAAAAGTTATATATATATATATATATATATATATATATATATTTAAATCTTTAGATAAAATAGAAGCATTGCATTAAATTTGTAAAAAAATGATAAACTAGTAGTGGCATCAATGACTTTTGTTCCTTCTGTACCTTAAAAATAGTAAAAAACAATTGTAAGTGGATTTTAGAAATGTAGTTGCTCAACATGTTTGAAAGTAAGGATTAATTATTCTTTAATAGTTAAACAAACAAAAAAACATAAATTAGACCATAAAATTTTGTTTAAATTAGAAAGTAGAGAGATTTATATTGTTGAGACTGAAAGTTATAGCAAAGCTTGTTAGAAAAATGTATTCGAGTTGATTTTTAATATTCTCAAAATAAAATTAATTACCTATTTATTAAATGCTTAAATTACAGCATATAATTTTTTAAAATTTAATTGTATATACATCAATAAAGAGGAACTACATAATTTTTGTCAAGATATTTAAAATGCATCGTATGTCCTCATTCTAAAACTTTTGTGTTGTGCAGATTACAAAATAATAATAATAATAATAACTATAATTGTATGCCTTTTCCTTGAGTACATCTTACATAATGTTGCTGATATAACCTTTGTTGATTAAATTCTACAGTAGTTAATTTCACATTACTTCCAGTATTCAAAAAGGTTTTGAGAAATTGAATACTACAAAAAAAGTTCCTACAGTTTTTCTATAACTTAAGAGTTGTTTATTCAACCATTTATTAAAAGTCCTCAAAGAACCATGCTTTCCAATGTCAAAGTTCAAAAACCACCAAAACAAGTTTGAACAATTTGAAAAGACAGAGGTTGATGAACAATACAGGTAGACGAAATCTCATACTCTTTTTTTGTTTTGTTTTGTTTTTGTGGCTTATTCTACGTCTGTCTATAATAAAATTTATATATATATATATATATATATATACATATACACGAATGGGTGTGTTCGTTGCACTCTGTGTCTGTATATGTCTGTACATTAACAATTATATATGTGTATATATATATAAATACACACACAGACATATGTAACCCTTGTGCTCTAGAACTGCAGGAATGGCAGCGTGCGTTGAATTGCAGTCCTACGTCGTCTGAAGCGTTCCGTTACTCGCACCATCCGTTCACCGATGCATCCCATATCACGACTCACGTTGGCTAAAGCTCTTGCACCTAGAATTAGAAACCCAGAAGCGTGAAAGAGAAAAAAACAAGCATTCGAGAGGTCCTGCGTGCTGGTAAAATTCCCACAAGGCAAACAGAAAAAAATAAAACAAAGAAAAAAAAAAAATATTCAGAAACCAAACAAATAAGGAAAGAAGCAGCAACTCGACCTCACAATCTCATGCACATATTGTCGAGGATTCATGTCGATCAGGGAACTGGTAGCATATCCCGCACCCAACCTATGCAACCTGCAAATCAACTAGACGCCGACCCGTCAGATCAGGTTCAAATCGCGCAACAGTGGGTGGGAATCTCGAAAGATAACCTCGAAAACCAGTGTTGGAAGCTCCGTTTCAGCCCCACCGCATACTGATCTCCCTGCCAACATTAACAACACGCGAGTTTGTGCCGTGGACGGAATGAAGAGATTGACAAATTCATTACCAAATATTCGTGAACCCTAAAAGTTCCCACGCCGAACATAAGTTTGCATACAAACTTATGTCTTATCAATTACACTCTAAGCAATTTACTAATGGTAAAATGAGATGAGAATATCAAAATCTTGTGAGAATGCACTTATTGTG